TCTCCTCAACCCCAAAACAGTCATTTTTCTTCTTCATCTTTTTCCTCTAGATAAAAAACCATCATTTTTTGCCTAGAGAAAATTACATATATCGTTTGCAGCTTAACAATTCAATAAAAAATCATAAAAAGAATTTAGTAACCATTGGCATAATCCAATGTAGGAACTTCTAAATCCATTAAAAAAAAGACCCATAACCAACAACAACACCACCAATAAGCTTTATTCTATCAGGTGGGATTGGCTATATAGATTATATGATACTATTATGCTCTATCATTCATTAAAATTTTAGAAATATTGTTAATTAAGAGGTCTCATTCAACAACTTTCAAAAGTGTTCTTTTTGGCCTTTCTCTGCCCTTTTTGATAGGGCTTAAAGTCATCTTTTTTAGCCAGAACCAAAAAAAGGAAATTAGCATAAGGGAAAAGGATTTGATTCATTTTAAATAAGATTGAAAGTTTGATTTTTTCAGTAAAAAAAAATTACATTAAGAGAAGAATCATCCCAAATAAATCCAATGTTCAAATGTGTCATGATAGTATCAAATACCAATAGCTATATATATATATATATATATATATAGTGTAATGTAGCACTCATCCTAAAGCTAAGAGGTAATGCATATATATTTTTCAATTTACTTATAGGGAAAATGAGAATAAAATTTTACCAAAATATATAAATAACAATCAAGTCTCTCAAAATGTCATAATTTTTCTGAAATCTTTGAGTATCTTTTTAACATTAATGATTTAGGTTAAATAACTAAATTACTCCTATGTAAAATAAAAAACAACAGGCCTGGCTCTATTTTCCTAATCATTGCTTTTGTTTAAGCAACCATAATTTTTATTTTATAAATTATAAAAATTAAATAAAAAATTATAACTTTCCATATAAAATTTCTTTTATAATTGATGAAAAATTTAAAAAATAACTAATCCCAATCACAACTTTTGTTTAAACAATCATAACTTTGATTATATGAATCACAAAAATTAAACAAAAAATTACAATTTTTCATATGAAATTTATTTTATCATTGAAGTCCAAGTTTTGAAAATAATCAATTACAAATTTGTTTAAGCTATCGTAATTTTTATTTTCTAAATTATAAAAATTAAATAAGAAATCATAATTTCTCATGTGAAATTTCATTTATCATTAAAATTCAAGTTTTAAAAATAGCCAGTTACAACTTTTATTTAAACAATAATAAATTTTACTTTGTGAATCATAAAAATTGAATAAGAAATCACAACTTCTCACATAAATCCATTATTTTTTTATTTTAAAAAAGGGGGCAACTTAAGCATTTAACCTAAAATCATTAGTGTCAGAAAGGTACTTAAGGACTTTAAAAAAATTATAATATTTTAAATAATATGATTATTATTTATATATTTCGGTAGAATTTTATTGTCTTTTTTGCTTATTTATTTATATCCATGCCTTTGTCCATATTAATCGATATATTGCATTATGTGAAAAGTAAAAAAAAATACTACAAATAACAATATATTATTTTTTCCTGAATTCATATGATAAATTTTGTATAGATCTTCATAAAAACATATAAATTCAAAGATTTTAGTGGGAAATGAGAATTTCTCTATAGATCAGTGGCCATTTGTTTTTATTTTTTTTTAAAATCTATTATGTAGATTTATCATTTAGTTATTATTTTATAAAAATAATCTATTATGTTTTTATTTTAAATATTTGTTTAAACTTTTGAAAATAATCATAATAAAAAAAAGTAGATTTTTGATTATTTTAAGAAGTTGCTTAGCGTAGCTTCTAAAAATAATCTAATACAATAGATAAAATAGAATATTTTGAAAAGGAAGGATACGTGAAGATATCATACAATTTTAAAATAACTAAATGATAAATTATTTTTATAAAAAAATCAAATAAGATATTATGAAATTTAAAAATAATTAACTAATAATCACTTTTTTATTATTGTAAACAAATATAAATAATCCCTATTTTTTATAAAATTTGTACAAAATATATAACTTTTTACAAAATATCTAAACTATCTTGAAATTATTTATTTTTTAATCTTAAACAAATGAGTCTTGTATCAGTTAAAATTAAGGAGAAATTACGTATAGGTTCTATGGAATAGATTTATTTACACATAAGTCCCACAAAATTCAGAAACCATAACCAAGTTCCTTGAGACCTAAGTGTAATTTGAAATTAGGGTCAAAAGACAATAATGTCCCTATTAAAAATATATTACACCAATCAAATAATTTACAACTATTTTATCAATAATTTACAACTATCACTTCAACTTTTTATATCAGTAACTTTATATATCTAGTAGTTAAACCAATTATACATTATTAAAAAATTTAATATTAATTATTTACAACTGCTTTACCAGTAATTTACAACTATTATTTTAATTTTTTTGCAACCATAACTTCACATATCTAATAATTAAAGTGATTAAGCATTATTGACAAAATTTATTACTAATTATTTACAACTATTTTATCATTAATTTACAACTATCACTTCAATTTTTTATAATTATAACTTCACATATCTAATATTTAAAAAGGTTTGAATATTTAATGTAAAAAGTTATAGTTATAATTATAAAAAATTAAAGTAATAGTTATAAATTATTGATGAAATAGTTGTAAATTATTTGATTGATGGTTACTAAAGGCATTTTGTCTCTACACTCTAATTTTAAATTAGATTCAAGTCTCAAGAAACTAATCTCAATTATATGTGAGACAAGTTTTAAAATCAGTTTATTTTTTGAATTGCTCTTTTCTCGAGGCAAGTTGTGGACCTAAAGCCTCTTGGGCTTGGAGTAGCATTGTCACAGGACAAGATTTCCTCTTGAAGGATTTATGCTTTCGGCTTGGAAGTGGCCGAGATATCTGTGTATGGACTGACCCATGGGTTCCTGGTCTACCTAAATGCAAGGCTATTAAGAGGGAAAATGCTGTTGTAGACAAGACTCTAAAAGTTGCAAACTTGATATCTAATGGTACATGGAGTCTAAATGATGTTAATCATCTGATGACTGATGCATCCTTAACATGTATAAAAAAAAATTACATATACCTTACACCCCTACATTTGACACCGTGGTCTGGACTGGCTCAAAAACTGAGAAGTAAACCCCTATGCTTGGATACAGACTGGAGTACTCAGGAGACCACCCTCCTCCCATTTCCAACCCATCCACATCTACAAATTTCCCAAAAGCCCTTTGGAAATCTATTTGGCATCTTCGTATTCATCCTAAAATAAAACACTTCCTCTGGCGTGCTCTCACTCGCTCTTTAGCCCCTCGAGACGCTTTTTACTCCAGAAAATGTGCCTCATACCCTCTTTTCCCTATATGCAGAGTTGCACCTGAAACTATAGAACACATGTTGTTGCTGTGTGAGTGGGCTAAAAAGTGTGGTGTGGTTCTGCTCTGACTATCACTATTGATCCTTGTACTATCTCATCTTTTCATAACTGGTGTGCTAAATTTTTGCTGGATGAGCCCCTCATAAATGATTATGACAGCTTATATAGCTTGTCTCTGCTGGAACATTTGGAAAACCAGGTCTGCCCCGGTTTTCAATGCTGGAGCAATTAATCCTTATCGGGTCCTACAAACAACTCATGCTGCAGTGCAAGAATTCTGGACCCTCAAGCTAAAGGGCTCTAGTATTTGTCCTGTTCTTGAAGTTTCTAATACTAAATGGTCGCCCTCTTCACAAGACACTATAAAACTTATTTGCGATTGGAGCTTTCTCTTTGATAATTATCTTAGAGGCTGGTGTGAGCAAGTTCAAGCTGACTCAAGCTTCATAGCTGAATTATTGGCTTGTTCCAAGGCTATAAAAATTGCTGATGGTTTTCCTAACCAACATGTTATGGTGTAAACGGACTGCATGGAACTGTTTAATGGTCTTACTAGTAGCAATGTCTCAAGCTGTGTGTGGCCTTACCATGGGATGCTTTTTCATCTTTTTGCTACCTTAGAGTTTCAGTCTCCTAACTCCTTCTCGTTTGTGAAATGAGATGGCAACTTCGCGGCTGACTGGATGGCTGCCTTCTCTCTTAAGGGTGTGATCTCAAGTGGCTGGCTCCTTCAACCCCCACTCCCTTTGACAGATATCCTGAAACGAGGCTCTGAGGTATATGACGTGGAAGTTCAGCATCCAAGGACTAAACGAGATAGAGAAGGCATCGGCTAATCGTTTTGCTTTTTGCTATGTTTTTTTGTTCAGGTCTTTGCCATGCTTGACTTATGACTTGCCTTTCTCGTTTTGTTTCTGTCCTTTGTCAAACCCTTGTTTTGATTTCTCATGAATGAATTTCCCTTTTCTGGTTAAAAAGTAAAAAAAGTTCCAACAAACTCAATTTTAATTTTTAAATTTTACGAGATTTATTTATAAATAAATCTACTCCACAAAATCTATATGTATTTTTTTCTAAAATTAATTATGACATCAGTTTTAGCTTTTCTTTGACTGTTAACTTTCTTTCCGGCATGGAATGTGACTCTTATACATGTCGGGTAAATTCTTTCCCAAATTCTTCTTTGTATAATACTTAAAACCGATATGCAAAAGATTCAATCTATTATTAAAAGAATTTGAACTTCATCAAAACGTGCGCGCCTACATACAACAACACAAAACAGAACAAAGACTCGATTGCCAATAATTCCTCGCAACATTCATATCTGAAATAGCCCAAGCAAGTTCAATCCACAAAGAAGTTCACCTTACTGATCGGTTGAACCGTAGGCAATATACCCTAAAAGTTCAGTTTCACATATAAAACTTCAACATCTCTTGAAAGTTTCATCCCATTCAATGACTAGGACGTTTTCACAGTTCATATTTCAACTGATTATTGAAAAAGAATATCCCTATAGTCCCAATTGTCATAATTATTCCATGTAAGGACGCCTACTCTCACCAGCACTCAACTTCACGCATCTCAGAAAAATAGAAAATCAAATGAAAGGCAATTATTAGATTAGATAAAACAGAAAGTTACAGGAGATGCTACAATGCACAAGTTCTACATGTACGAAGCATCCTTGTACAATGTTGAGCCTTGTAATGAGAACATACTGTACAGTAAGAAAATGCAAGTTCTACGACTCAGGTGTGCAGATAGTCACAAAAAGCTCCTTTCCTGCAGTGTCCACTCTCGTGGTACTTGCACACTCCTCTCTGCCCCCCAAAAGGAGGCCCTGAAGAACCTCCTCCTCGGCCTGCAGCACCAAACGAAGACTGCCTATTCCATGTTTTATCTCCTCCATAAGCTGGTTCACCACCATGAGGACCACGATCCCTATGGTTCGGGAACCTGTCTCCATTATGATTTTGTTCATTTCCCCACATGCCTTGGCCCCCTGCTGGTGCAACCCAGCCCGGATTAGCACTCACAGGTGCCGGACCTTGACCAGGCACAACCCAGCCTCCATTAGCATTAGGATGGCCTTGACCAGGTGCAACCCAACCAGTAGGGATTACTGAAGATGGCCCCTGACTGGGAGCAGCCCATCCTGGATTTGCATTTCCTGGCGCTGGACCCTGTCCAGGCATCCAATTCATGTTCATGTTGGCAGCAGCAGGTCCGCCCCAATTTAGATTTGGATTTCCAGGCATTACCCCCCAACTAGTATTTTGATTTTCTGCAACAGTCATTCCCCAAGGCATGTTGGTTGGCAGAGAAGCAGGAATATTAGGTTGATTACTTGAAGTCGGTGGTCTCAAGTCTTGAATGCCTGACATGGCGAAATTCCCCATTGGATTTCCAGTGTTATATGAAGTAGAATTCTGGATAGACGAAGCATCGGCCCAGTGGCCATGAGCCAGCGGTTGTTGGGCAGGCATAGCAGCAGGATTATTTGATTCTACCCTTGAATGGGCACCTCCCCAGGCCTGCAGTTCACCCCCTCGCATCTGAATTGAGCCAGCCATTTCAGGTTTCTGAACCAAACCAGACCCCCAACCTTGGGCTTCAGCATGGGAATTATGGTCACTCATAGCCAGGTTCTGCATGCTTGCAGTTTTACTGTCAGTACCTATATTTCTTGAGGCATCTGCTGTAATAGCTGCCACCATTGTCACTTGAGGATGACCAAGAGGAATGCCAGGATTTGAAGGTGGAATCTTAGCAGGTTGTGAGTTTGAACCACTTTCAACACCTTGCACCGCTTTCTCAGCAGCAACAGGGGGCTGCAAACCTCCATGGCCACCAGGAAAAGGACTCCCTGTAAGAGAACCAGCAGAGTGGACAAGAGTTGGGGACCATTTACTTTCAAAAGCCTGCCCTTTAGTCCCATAAGAGGTAGTCTGAGGAGTAGGTGAAGGAAGATTCATTGACTCAATTCTAGCACCAACATCAGGCCCCCGTACATTTGTAGGGATCTTGGGAACCTCAACTGTCCTTGGAGAAGGCCTATTTGCTACAGAATTATTATCTTCAAGCCTCCAACTTCCTCCAGTAGTTTGGCCTAGAGAACTCATAGCATTATGTGAATTATAGGATCCACCACTCTGATCAAATGTTGATCTTCCTCCAACCTGAGCATCTACACCTTGTTGTGCAGGCAAATGAAGCTTCCCAGAGTGTGAGGCTGCATAATTCAAATTATGCACCACCTGAGCCTTCAGGAAAGTTTTATCCACTGCTGATGGCTCCTTAGAAAAGCTTCCAGATAAGGCATCAGTTAAGAGTATAGACTCATCTTGCTTCTCAGCGGTTCTCCAAATTCTCAAATCAGTAGGGAAATATCCAGTATTATTCCATTTACGTAATTGTGCCATTGAAAATGGTCCCTGAACTTTTCCAGATGGATCCTTATAATGCCATAACTTTTCTGTTTCATTAATTTTCACTGCAGGCACAGTAGATGATACAGCAGAAGCATTGGACATAGTAGAAAGAGACTCAGAAGCTACCACAGGCTGGGTGCTTTTGCCACTTTCCAAGCTTGAATATAGTTTTGGCCCCTCCCAGCTGTTAGATAGTTGTGTTTCCCTATCTCTCCCCCGGACGATTTGAACATCATTCAATATCTCAGAAGCATTAGACACATCATCAACTTTAACTGAGAGTCCCTTATTAGACAAATTCCTGCTTAGCTCACGATTAGTGTTAGAATAGTTCCTTGTTCCGCTCCATGAATCATTTGAATTAGAACCACCTGTTCTAGGAGAAACCATTTCTCTTCCCCTTCGGTCAAATGCAGTTCCTCTAGGTCTCATGAAACTCTCTGCAGGCACATAAACCAAATAAATGACTGTAAATTTTGGAGAAGAGGTAACACTACACATGTCAAGGGCCAATTCAACTCAAATGCTTAAGTTGTTAAGTGAAGGTCTGTACAGTCTCTAACAGGCCACCTTACACAAAAGTCCATCGAACATGAGCATAGATAAAGCACAGGTGTGCTATACCTTGTGATGAAACGAAACTGTAATTATGATAATAGAAGGCAGCAAGAATCAAAATCCTTACCTTCTGGGCACAGATGTTTCGAAAATAAATCAAGTAGATCATTTCAACTCAAGCCTAAGTGTTTAAATAAAGGATCATTATCATATCAAATGATAAATAATTTCTTGAATTTGCAAATACCTAGTCGTTTGTGATCAGTTTCTTCTTCTTCTTCCTCAGACTCATAACTTGGATCCATGTTTGGGTCTGCGTGTATGTCTGGAATTTCCTCCAATCTTCGCTGCCGTTCCTCAGGTGTTTTTAAAAGCTGCAATTTCTCTACACATTCTCTGAGCGTGAGATTAAGTCAAGGATTGCCTCAAAGTAACACTTAGGTTCTTGGTCAAATTTAAATAAATTAAAAATTGTTTCATGAATAAATACTTCAATAACCATATCATAAAATGACAAAACAAAATACTTGGGACCAACAAAATAATCAATATAATATTGTGTGTAACTCATTATCCATAATTCATGAAATGTGCAACATATTTTAGATGTTATGAGGAAACACGTTTAACATCAAGGGTTAATATACAATTTGAACCTTGAAAGTAATTTAAACCTTGAGCTCGTATTTGGTATATTCTAAACTCTAAACAATTAAACTTGAAATAATTTTGCCCCCACCGTTAAATTAAAACAAACGTCCATGACTTCTAAGATTCCTTTTTCGAAAACACGGATGTTTGTTTTAATTTAACAGTAGGGGCAAAATTGCTCCAAATTTAATTGTTTCAAAATGTACCAAATATGAGTTTAAGATTTAAATCGCTCTTGGACATATAGTTCAAGGTCCAGATGGCATATTAACCCTAGCATCATAATGAAAAATATCAATCTCTATTCAAAATTCATGTTATCATGACAAGAAACAATTTTTTGAAATAACATAAAAATCTCTATCATTTGGAAAGCAATTACTAATTACCACTACTGAGAACTATATTGTTGGATAGATTACAGAACATTTCTAAGCCACAAAAGAATTTAGCCCACCTCAACCATCTCTTCTGTTTAACTCAACATAGATTAAATGAGCTCAAGAAATATTTTACAGTTTAAACTCCACTAGATCAACTTTAATATGGTTTTGTCAACTTCACCAGAAAAAAAGGTATTAACTTGGAGGATGAAATTGAATTTCTTTGTAAAACATTTTCATGCATTTAACAGACAGGAAGCTGATAAGTAGCAGCACAGCAATAGATAAATTATACTTAAAACTAAAAATGTTCATGACAAGGATATTCCTTTCTCCGTCCTTTCTCACTGGCTCTATCACGAAGGTGACTTAGCCTTACTATCTCTGTTTCTAACCACTGCAATAAAAAGAAAAAAGAAAATAAAAGAAACATATGCATTATATAACAAGGACCAAAAATTTCAATTTGGCACAGATGGAAATTAATGAATTAAAAAATGGAATGAGCAAGAAACACAGACCAGAAGACATTCAATATAACAATTCAAACTAAACAGGACAACTAGTTATATTCCAACATGAACTATTCTTCTTTGGCTAGCTACGAAGCCTCACAAAAATGCAAAGAGGATCTGTAGAGGTCCCTGAAGATGATTGCAAGACCTTGATGGATTTATGAAAGCAGTGACCACTAAGCAGTTTTTTTTTCCCAGAAATGCAAGAATATTATTGGACGGAGGATGTACATCTTGTTGGAGTATGATGGGGACTAAGGTATTATGAGATGTCTAAGTCCCATATTAAATGTACATCTTGTTGGAGTATGATAGGGACTAAGGTATTATGAGATGTCTAGGTCCCACGTTAAGCAGTCTGGGATGCTATATGAGATACTTAGAACCATTGGTTCTCCTACCTCAATAGCCGGCACTAGGCGGAGGGATCCGCACCTTACTTGAGAGTCAACCAATTAGTATCAGAATTAGTGGACAGCAATTTTAGAAAGAGCTGCTTGCCTAGGGTTCTGACCAGTGGAGGGAATTGACCAATGAAAAAGCCAAGTGAAATGTTGGGAAAGAGTATCCAAAGTCATCAACTCTCAAGGGGGCAAATTCATGTTGACTAAAGGTTGTATAGGATGCCTAAATCCCACATTTAGTATAGGAAATTCTATGGAGAACTTTAGTGGATTGATCCTTCCGCCTCAATAACTAGCTTTTGGAAGAGGACTCCTCACCTTGAATGTCCACTAGAGAACAAGAAATTTTCAACCAGAAAATAAAAGAAAAATGTCAAAACAGGCAAACTAACAAGATACTTTCAAACTTCAGAGGCACTGAACTTTCCAGTCTCTACATAAAAGAAATATTGGTTTGATAAGGAAACATGTGAGCAAAGCACCAATGAGGAGCCATGTGCACAAAATCCATCCCATAACAAATTTAAAGGTGAAGTGTGCCATTGAAGATGCAGGCTTTCTTCTACTATTAGCAAAATGGAACTAAACTGAAGTATCAGCTTCCATTTTTGTCTTTGAAGTACAGAAGCTATAACTCATGAGCGAAGTGCTAAGTCAACTAGTTACAACCAGTCCTAGACCTGGGCTGAGATCAAATAGGCTTAACACAATAGCAGCAGCAAAAGTTGCACTGATGAAGACAATCCAAGTAACCAATTAATTCAGAAGCAAGCATAAGCACATGTCATGATGTCAGGTTCAAGAGAAATTAAGGTACAACAGACCACAACTCACATCTTTTACTCTGACCGCTTGAAGTGCCATAGCCTTGTCTTGAATGTCACCCTACAAGTACACATTCATCCTTAGCACAGACTAAAGTATCAGAAGCCTAAAAGCCAAGCTTAACTGAACAAAGAATTACCACTGTCAGCCGATTTATCAACCCACACTTTATACTCTGGCGGAGACGCTTGCATTCATCCTGACAATTAATAGGCCCCGTCATTATCTCAATAAAAAAACAATCAACCTCTAGCACAAGTTATATAATTTTTAAACCCATGATTGCCCAACACAGAAATAAATTTCTTATTTTGGATGTCAGATGGTTAAATACGCAATTGCCAAGGATGCCTTTAGATTGTATTTTGAGAATAAGGACCAACCAGCAATAGATATTGTTGACTTTTAAATGATAAGCCTCACTTAAATATCACCCTCCATGAAATATTAAGAGATACAGAAAGCAAGTGGTATACAATCGATGTCCATTGGCATTTTGAGTTTTAGATTGAGAAAGGGTACCTCTAAAACAAAGCACATATCAGGACAAAAGGGAAGGGGAGAAAAGAAAACTAGTAAAAAAATTATACTTTTCATTTAATCACCTCTGTGAACTCTTGATTTGAGATAATATCAATTGATACAATCTCTGTCTTGTTTAAATTTAAGATTTCTAGCAAGGTATCTGTCATCCTTTTACCAACTTTATATGGCTCAGCTGCTTTGCATGTTCCTGAACATGAAGACAATTAACACAGAACCCCCAAAAAAATCTTATTTCACATTAAAAGTAATATCACAGAATGAAGGGAATCGTTACCCTAATATTTACCTACAACCTGAACCAGCCTATACAAATCTTGCTTCTGACCACTACCAGAGATCCTTATTCTCACGAAAGACCCAACAACTTTATCATGAAACTTATCTGTATCTTCAAGCAGTTCTTCCACCAAATTGCGCCTAAGATAAATTAAATTAATATTGTGATTATCAATAGCTGCATAATCCTCAGTATTGGATTGAAGTCCCTTTTCATAACTTTTTTTTCGTGTTTTACGTCTCTTGTCTTTTCCATTCTTCGGAAAGGAATCAATATTGCCATCACCTTCCAAATGATTAACTTCAGTATCAACAACACTCCCCTGTTGATCTTCAGTCTGGGAATCTTCTTTTAGTAGGAAATGGGATTCAAGAAGCTTTAACATTTCAAAATGACCCACTCGTGGTTTACCAAACAAATTTTGAAGCCTTGCATCACAAATTATTTGGCTTTTTCGGCGAGGATCACGGAGCTTGTTTCTTTTAATATACTCTAGCAGAAGAGCCTGCACATCAAACTGGGACAGAATAGATTTATCACCATTTCGCATGTGCATAACAAACTCCAAAAGTTCTTTCGATGCCCACTCAGACCTCTCATCTACATATGGCCCTTTGTCACCAATCAGTGTCATTGTGCTGTGTGAATTCACCTCCTTGGAACGGGGCTTCAATCGTTTATTGGCCTTTCTTCTTTTAACACTATTGCTTTCTACATTTTCAGAAGAGCTATCTGAATGTGATCCCCTGTCATTGTTAGCATCATAGAACTCATCAGGTGATTCCTGCTTGGTAAGAAGGGCATCAGATCCCTTCCATGGGTTTTTAGCTTGAGCAAGCTCATCATATGTTAGAGATAGCTTCCCTTTTAGATCTGTGTAGTAGTCCTTGAAGAGATACTCCCAGCTGTTTTTATCATCAAAATCCACTTGTCCCTGCACCAAGCATACAAAATTAAAAAAGATGACCACAAAAATGAAAGAAGAACGTCACAATCTGAAATTTTGATGACGTCAGAATTACTATGTTTTTACTTCTTATAAGAAAAAGAATTACTATATGTTTACTAATTGCCACCACCATCATAGGTGACAATGGGAACTAAAAAAGCTATTGTGAACAGCAAATTGCAGCGTATGGCAACCTTAAACTGCAGCACACACAAATATATAATTCCAATTCAAAATAATAAAAGATGGCCACAATAACGCAGGTATATATGAGGACACAAACATTTAAATGGGTAAATTCTTGAAGCATCGCCAAAAGCACATCCAGTTGTAAGATATGAATTAGGAAGTATACCTCACGCTCACCAAGAAAAAAGAAAGTATTCCTCACCTCAGAAATCCATCACAAATTCACCAGCTGTAAACTAGTGATCAAAGCATATCACATGTGAGAGGATGGGATGTAACTTAGGGCTGGTTATGTGTAACATCACGAAAGTTAGACCTGGGTGCTTATAGGCATAAAAAAGAAACTTTAATTAGTATGCTATTGTTTTCAAATTGGACAGGATCTCAAAGAGGATCCAAGATGTACTCAAGCAAGTGAAGTTTGAATCTATGTAATTATCCTAATGAGTTTTGTGTGAATATTTTGGTACACGTATTTAAGTTTAAGTTTAGGCTTCAAACTTGTGGACGTTGCTGTTGTAGTATGCTAAGTGGTGTTTCTGGATTATGGTTAAACTGTTTTGGGTTTGTATGTAATGACCAAAAACACAAAAATCAACCCAGTTGTAAATAAATGACTGTGTAAGTTGATAATGTGCATGCTTCCACAACAGAAATTTTTATGTCGGTACTGATGCTAGAAAAACAAGAAATTTTGTCACTATTTAGAAGTTTCAAATGACACCCAGATCAATTTATTTGGATTTATATAGCCTGAGATATGATTTTTCAAATATGCAAGTCAAAATTAAGATAAAAGGGTTAGATCCAGAACAGGGAGCAAGCTTCAACGTGAAAATTGTATTAAATGGGCTATAAAATTTCTTCAAACATTTTTCTAATATATTAGACTGATCCAGCTTTCCAACAAATCAAGAATCACACAGAAATGAATTTTCTAGAATTAATAGTGAATTTCCAAAGTTTACTTAAAAACTCTGGAATAAGCTAGGTTACCAACCTGAGTTTTCAACTTGCAAGAACTAACTGTTTGGATTGGGCTAAGTTATGTTCAGTTTCGAATATTTCTTTAATCAATAACACTTCAAGCTTTCCAAAAAGCCCTAGATCGCATTATTTGAAGCTCTACAGCTTTAGATATTAATTTTCCAAGTTAAGGTATAAAACTGGATCCAGAATAATGGACAAGTAGAAGTGTTGTAAAGAAATAAGTAAGTAGTGTCAAATGGTCAGATCTAAGCCCGTTTACATAATTTCTTGTGATAGAGGATGCATATAGATTTCAAACTATTCCAATAGCACTTCATTTGCAAATGTATAACTCAAGCTATAAATTTTCAAAAATAAAGGTGATGTATCAAAAAAACGGTAAGGATAAAATAAATACCTTAAGTTCATGGAATAAGTTACAATATAAGGGGTATTCATAACCTAGTTTATCATTCCATTCGTCCTGCATAAAGGAGTTATAGGTTTGTAATATGATGAGACAAGAACCAGCTCAATCTAATATTTATAAACTTAGTTATGATTTTTCTCAAAATTGATTAGAAAATTTAGAAGAATTTGTGAATGGTATCATGTGATGCTTTTGGTGATTTATTTATAATTATTAGTATTATTATTTTAAAATGTAATTGGTTCCTAAATAGCTCAGAGTTGTTTTCTATTAGTCCAGGGATGCAAATAAAAGCTTTAGAAATGAGATGTAGTGACACTATGAGAATGGAATTAAGAAAAATTTAAATCCCAATTTGTTTAAGGGACCTATATCATAAAAACAGCACTTTAAATTGCCCCGATAGTGCATGCCATGGGCCATGGCAAAAGGTACAAAAGACACATGCCACAGCTATGCCAAGCGGAGTTGCCCAACTATCCATGGCATGGGGCATCAGATAATGGCACTTCAACAGCTATAACCACCATTGAAGAGTTTTACTTTTTTCTTTTTCTTTTTTTAACAAATATGAAATTGTTATTAGCAAGAACAAGCATTAAGACTGAGGAGGATAAGACATCTTGCTAAGACATAAAGACAGCTTAATATTTGCATCATGCTAAAGCAACAGTTCTAGATAAAAGGTGACAACAGGAGTAGGAAGGGATATATACCATGTCCTTGTTCCCCAGCTCATTCTGTTCAATCAGCATTACAGTCCTCATGCATGTCTCACAAAAGCCATTCTTTCCCCTAACGCACAAGATGACAGCATCTTTTGTGCATCCCTTGCACAAAGAGAACGTACAGGTATAGCACATGTAGTAAGAATTCTTCCCACAGTTGCTGCAAAGATGCCAACCTGGAATCATGATGATCAAAAAATATGCCAAGTCGGATAAAGCATTCTAAAAATGCTGACCGTTTGCTAAGATTTGGTATCTCAATACTTAAAATGAATTCATTTACATTTTGAAATCGAGAAATTAATAGTATATAAGTGAACTGTTTCCCTCTGAATAAGGCAAATGCCACTGAAACCAAAGGATAATAAAATAGAAAAGGAAAAATCAGAAGAAACATGACGAAGAATTGGGACACCAAAAAAATGCTTCCCATGTAAAATGAAATAAAATATTTACAGTATAAAGAGTCTACTGATTAGAAAAATATAAAAACAGTGATAGAACGGTGATAGAACAGAATAAGAAAGAAACATACCACAATTCCATTTACCCTTTGCTCGAAAGAATGCATCATCACGATTAACACATGTAGGATGGTAAGCCTTTGGGCATCCCCTGATTATCGCCAAAAAGCAATGAATTTGCAGGTAAACTTCATAAAATAAGATAGAGATGTCCTTATAAATAAATATCTAACCTGCGATCACAAAGCACAAGCTCGCCCCCATCAAAGCATATGAAACAAACATCCTCTTCCACCTTTTTTCTAACTGGAACTCTCCCTGCAGACTTTGAGTTCTTCCCACGCTTCCTCTTGCCGCTGCTGACACCTCTACCTTGGCCCTCAGCCACCTCCATCTCCTCAGTCAACTCAGCACCCCCTGTATACTCTGCCACTTCAGCAGCATCTACTTCCACTTCCATCAAATCTGCTTCATTAGCTACCTCCACCTCTTCTGCCTCTAGGGCCTCCTCCCTTCCGCCAGCTCCATCTGCATCCTCTTCTGTGTCACTTGTACCTTCCACTTTGCTAATCACATTCAACACCTCTGCTGCCTCCTCCGTATCTTCAGCCTCCATGCCAACTCCAGCTGCTTCAGCTGTCTCACCAAGAGTGGAAGCCATGCCCACCGATGCATCTGCCATCTCCATCCCCACTGCTACTTTTTCAGCTTCCTTATTCTCATCTGGCATGCCAGCTTCATCTGCCTCTTCATCCACCTCCCCGATCTCTATTGCTTCAGTTGTCTTGCCCAGGGAACAAGCCATATATGAGTCTGCTGGCTCCATCCTAGCTACAACCTTTTCTGCTTCCTCTTTCTCATATGACTTGGCGGCCTCATCTACCTCCCCTCCAACAATGTCAGCCACATCTGTGTCCTCTTTCACCTTTGTAATGTCCTCGGCAATGTTTGCTACACTAGTTTCCTCCTCCACCTTCTTATTATCATCAGCAACGTCATCAACATCAGTTTCCTCTTCCACCTTCTCATTGTCCTCATCAATGTTAGCTATATCAGTTTCCTCTTTCACCTTTGAAATGTCCTCGGCAATGTTAGGTACATTGGCTGCCTCTTCCGCCTTGGCAATGTCCTCGGCAATGTTAGGTACATTGGCTGCCTCTTCCAGCTTCCATGCCCATGCCTCCGCTGCTTCAGCTGTCTCACCAAGGCTGCAAGCTGGATACGCGTCTGCTGTCTCAATTCCCGTTACTACTTTCTCCGCTTCCTCGTTTTCATTTGACATGACAGCCCCGCCTGGCTCCCCTTCCAACTTCTTGGTCTCTACAGCAACGTCAGCTAAATTGATTTCCTCTGACACTTCCCTAGAGACGTCAAAATGGGCCAACCAAAAAGGGGAATAAATTTACAAAAGAGCCCATGCGGCAGTAAGGAACAATACAAGCGTACAAAGCATGCACTATATACAAAAGGCAAGTGCGCAGCTCTATCTTCCCATAACAAGAACAGTATCCCAACCTCGCCCCACTCCCAACCAAAAGAAAAAGGTAACAAAAAGAATAATTTGTGAAGAGATTGACATGAAAAAAACTAGAGGGTTACATCAAGAAGAAAATCTTATTAATGGTATTCCACTTTCTGATTCTTAGGTTTACCCTTTCACATAATTCAAGTAAAACAGGTAACTGCTATCTACCGAGAACCAACCTGGAAGCAGGCGGAACAAAAGGAGCGGATGGCTTCTCTTCCGCTTCGTCACAGTGTAGGAGGGTCTTCGCTTCATCAGCGTCATCTATCCGGTCGAGTGGCATGTCTTGGACGGTGGCAGGCGACGGCAGCGGCGGGATGCAACGTGAGGGCGAGGGAGGATCCTCCGCAGGGTTCGTCATTCCTGTGGTGAAATCGAGCTTCCGAATGCAAATCGGGGGGCATCAGAATCTGATGTAAATTGGGGTCTTTTTTTTTTGGCCCCTTGAGCCTTTTGTTGTACTGAGGAAACCCGCATTTATAACTGGACTAGGCTGAATTGTTTTGGGCCATCCAATTTCCATTTGTTTCAAGTATTTGCTATCCGGCCTACCACTGAAAACCTGCCATTTTAACTTTGGGCCTGATGGTAAGGAATATCTTGGTCTCCTTATTCAAGTCTTGACACCAAAAATATAAGCAAGTCTCAAACTAAAACGATCCCATTGAGCAAAAAGAAATCCTGTCATAATACCATAAGGATGATTAGAAGCTTTCCAGAGAAACGCATCAAGCAGTGCACGATAATTTTTATATTAGGATTTTGAATGTTCCTCACTTAAAATGTAAAAACATTTTTATGTTCACACTTCTCATGATTGTTTGTAGTTTGTATGGTCTTAATTGCGATCATATTTATTAAACCAAAAAAAGCATGTTGACGAGCAATGATTTGAACGTGAACAACAATAAAACAAATAAAGTTATCGACTTTCAAACAATATTCCATCAGTTTTGGGTGAATGGCAAATAATAAAAATAAATAAGGTTATTAAATGCAATCAAAACCATCTAAAAAAAAAATTGTTACGGTATATTGTTCATTGATATTTATTCTGTTGATATTTATCTATATTATTATAATATATTATCTATTAAGATTTATTCTATTTTTTATTAGAATTGAGTCTTATTATATTGGGATTTAGAGCCCATTTGTTTTAACTTATTTAATGAGAAAAATCACTTTTTTAAAAAAAAGTCTATATTAAGAGTTCTTATAATATTTGTTTAAATTTTTAAAAATAATCAAAATTTTAAAAAAAATTATATTTTTGTGATTATTTTAAAAAGTTACTTTCAGTAACTTTTAAAAATAATCTAATGCAATAGATAGAAGAGTGTTTTAAAGAAGCGAGATATGCAAAAATAATATAATAATAAATTATTCTCATAAAAAATCAAGAAATATATCATAAAATTTTAAAATAAATAACTAATAATTACTTTTTTATTATTTTAACTAAATATAAAATAATGTATGTGTTTTATAAAATCTCTACACAACAAATCTCTTTTTATAAATCTCTAAACTATCTAAAAATTACTTTTTTTAATATTAAACAAATAGCCCCTTATACATATTCGTCCGTTAATTAAAAAATATTTTGTATCTATTAATTATTACTATTATTATTATTATTAGGAAGACGGTCTACTTTTTTTTTCATATATATTATAAATTCAGGTATCAATAATTTCATTAGAATTAAACATAACCGGATTCTTCATTATACTCATAATACGCATGTAGTCAATTAGCTTTCGAACGTGTGAAGGTGGAAATATTTGTAAATCAATGAGAAAGGTCTGATCATCTTTTTTCCCCCCTGAACAAAGAGAAAGGTTTGATCATCTAAACCTCAAAGCTTACTGCATTTTTGTGGGAAAAACTTAAATACTTAATCTTACATATTTAATATATTTTTATCCAATCAAGTTAAAAAGAAGTTAATCTAAAAGTCTTAAAATTATTAATGATAAAATTTTATTACATAATAAATAATATAAAAAAATTTAAATATCTTGATTTAATTATAAATAAGCAATTTGAGTATATAAGTTTTATAATATCCTCACCCCACTAACCACACTTAACAAATAAAGCTCATGATAATCGAAGAATTATCTCCAAAGGGTGATTACCAAGATTTAAATTTAAAAGTAAGGGATTCCAAGTTTTTTTAAATAGAAACAAGTTAACATTGATAAAAATCTTTCACATCAGAGTAAAGATAAGTTTCAGAAACATGTAATACCTCAGAGGAGTGAAAGAAGTCAAGAACAGTGAAGAATAAATTATGTGCTGCAAAACAAAGCAGTGCGCCGCGGCTTAGGCATGGCGTGTTGCTCTCTATGTCACGTACCGCGGCTCAGGAGCCATACGCCGCGAGGTGTTGTACGAAAATCCACTGGTTCTGCTGTCAATTTAACAGCAGAATTGAGGAACTTCTGACTTACCCCGATCCGATGTCCGAATAACATGATCTAAATATTTATGGAAAAACCATTTTCTTGTACTAGCTAATAGCACGAGTTTCACTTCCAAAACACATCACACTAGGAAGTTGGATACCTAAACACAATTTAACCACTTTTCAACACTTTTATACAAAATGGGTGTCCAAAACCCTCAACAAGTGTCAAAAGCCTTTCCTAACACCTAGACCATGTCTAATAGACTTAGGACTACCAGTACAACACATCACAAGTATCAAAATATCATTATAACAAAAAATTCGCTCCTCAACCCCAATTTAACAAAAACAAAGAGGGAGGTAAATTAACATTGCATTTAACTCAAATCATTCAAAACCTGCTCAAATCTTCATTTCTACACTTGCACTAATATTTTGGCCTTATAAACATATATATGATAAAAATACACAAAGGTTGAGGGCCCAAAATACAATTCTAACATGTTCAACAACTAAAATAGTACAAGTAAGGTAATATGTATCCTAGAATTGGCAATTTATATGCTATTACACAAATACATCAAAACTAAAGGCATACAAGAAAGAATGTACTAATTCTCCGCCTCTTTAGTCTTCTCTCTCTCAACACCGGAGCTAGAACCTAAAAAATATTAAATAAGAAGGGTGAGTCTGGCCACTCAATAACTAAGGTTAAACCTGTCTTATGCAATTATATATTAATTATAATCAAATACATGCACAAGGAGATCAAACTTATAACACACATACCCATATATCACATTTTATCACTTATCACACTATAGCTTCATTACTCACATAGCTAGGTGCATTGTCTCCATATTCTCAGATCTGAGACAAGACCTATACTCTTGTGACTTGCAACTACTTAGCACGTGTGACACGTTATGCATTTATTTAAGTAATGATCAACCAACCTTATATCCTCTTTATTTTCTTAGACTGAAATCGTGGGCTATAACATGGATTAGGGCTCTGTCTGTGTGATTGTACTATCCAAGCTCACCAATTGTAAGGTGTGACTCGGCCAAAGATCACAAGACTCACTCTCGAACCACAGCTTCCCCCATTCTCAAATCCCTAGGGTGTCTCATACCTTAGGCTATTCTTCTTATTGAACCGGTGGAAATAGTTAAGTTCTAGTCCCTCGACAAACAGTGGGACAAGGCTATAGCCCTCATGCACTAAAGGACAGCCTAATTTCCATATGGATTTTTTCTACTCCCAAATCCCTAAGCGAACTCTTGCCGCTGATCATGCCATAGACCATACTCACTTGTTCTCACTCTTCACTTTCATACACTCACTATTACAACAATCACGTTAAGTTCACAACTTTGCACTACCCAAATATGTATTCTCGTCATTTTTTCAAAATTCATTTCTTATTAACACAAAACTATTTCTACACATTATCACATTCATTTCTCAAAAATATAGGCATATTCATAATACAATTCTCTTAACTTTGCACTTGCATTTTCAAGCCTAAAAATAACTTTTTCATGCACTTAAAGAAGCTAATATATAATTCTTACTTAAACAACTAATTTCATGCATGTAACATTCATAATCTCACACTTAACAACCAATTAACCATAAATTAACATACAACTATTCAAAGTAGAGTTTTTCCTCCGATTACCTCAAACCTTTGAAAAGTCAAAGGTTTACCCCTCAATCAATTAGTCTCTAAGTTTAAATTTCCACTCCAATAAGTGACCAAGAGCCAAAACTACAATCAACCAATTTATGTTCCATCAACATAATAAACTCAACCATTTGAAACCCTCAATCTCTACTTCTAAATTGCCTAACTTTCACTTAACAAGAGGTAGAGCCTAACTATTGGGTTTAATAATTACCTTTAGCCCCCAATAACATTAATAAGCCATTAAATCCCCATTAATGGCATCACAAACTTCCAACCACCCATAATAAATGAGATTTTCGAGTATTTATGGTGCCCAACAACCAAAAACACCAAAACTCATCACACCTAGGTTTAAATACTCTAATCTGCCCTCATTAACTCCATTTGGGTCAATAAATTCAGACCCATAACCTATATGAATTGAAATCTCACTTTCACTATCAAACCCTAACCATAAACTCATAAATGTGAGAGAAAATGAAAGACTAATGAGTATAATATTTATCTTGGGTGTTTGTAATCTTTAAAATACTATCAAAGTAATTCCTAAACAAACCCTAGTAGAGCTTTGGCGTGCCTCTCCTTTCTCTCCTTTCTTTTCTTTCTTTCTTTTATCTCATTTCATGTCTGATAAAGTGCAAAATTCTTTTTCTTCTCCTCTCGATGCCTGAGTGGCCCGCCTCAATATCAGACCCACAATAGAGCTGAAATACCATCAATTATAATTGTTAGACTTTTTTGACCACATACTACTTTAATTTACTTCATTATCCTAATTAAATTTAATTAATTAGGAAATTAAAACTCAAAATGTTACAAGTTTTTTCTTATTCTTATATCAATTCCAACTTCAACAACTTTAACATGCTGACAAGAAAAACTTTAGCAAGGCAAGATAGTTTTCTATCATGCCTGTAGTTCTCATATTATTAAGATTTAAATTTAAATTATTAATTTTGCATCCCAATTATACACACACACGGGTACATTTAACGTGGGTGTGCGCGTGTTTCTTTCTTCTAAACTTTAGCAAGTTAGTTTTTCCACAATGCCTGTAGTTCTCATAAGATTAACATTTAAATTTAAATTATTAATTTTGCCATGCCAATTATATATACTTGTGTATACATCGATTTAACACACACACACACACACACACACGTTTCTCTTAAACTTGGACTAATCGATCCCATCTCTTCTGGACGCCGAATGAAGAAACCAGATTTGATAGAAGAAACGTATAAAGTAATTGCTCTCCGGTTTTTCCCCTCAATAGATTCTGCTTGAACCTTGCAAATAAAATTCTGCACAGATGCCAAAATCATAACCATCTTCATCAGATAAATTGCTTCAGAAACTCTGCAGCTACCAGCCTCCCTCGTGTGTTTACTGACACTTTAAGTTCGCTTATCTCTTTATCAATATCCTGCAAGTTAGAAAGCATCAGTCCCCTAAGCTGTCAATAAAACTAGCGATTTGACAGGAAAGCGAACACAATAAGTTGACTACAGCAAGCATAACCACAATAGAGAGATGTGTGATAAGAGAGCATATGCAATTCATCAATAAGCCTCACATGCTTCAACAAACAATCATTCATATGCCAATTGCCAAACACCAGGAGATCATCTGGCTATAATCAGTTAATGTTAGTTTTAGTCCCTTAAAAAAAAATGTTACATTACACCAACTGGTTACAATCATGAGGGACCGCATCGATCCTTTGTAGGTGAGGTGTGAACAAAAAATGATACTGGGCTGATAGATCAATAACTTGTGATGCCACCTTCCATTCTTTAGTGAATGAAAGCGAATATTTTCTATGTGACACTCTCATCTCAGAGCCACATTAACTTTTATTGCATTCAGATAATGCTCATGAAAAAATTTAAAGTTTGAGGAGGCTCATCCTGTTGCGTATCAAATTTCAATCACAAAACGAAAGGCAAATCCAACTAATAGGGTTAAGTAGGCTCTTGCCTCCATAAATTGCACTATAAAATCTATGAGTTTGTGCTTCTGCATCTCCTCGCAATGGTAATTTGTTACGAGGAAGCTGATGTCATATCCCTGCATGTGAAGCAGCAAAAAAAGTCATTTAGATGCCACTAAATAAATTACACAAATTCTCTATGGCTCTGAACAGAGTTGCTACTAATGCAATCTGATTTTTTGATCTCTTTTTTATTCTTGTAAATATTGGGAGATGTTTTTTGGCCTGTCTCCCCTTTGTAATTCCTTTGGTTGAATAATATTCCTTTTCCACCAAAAAAAAAAATTAAAAAATTGTCTTCTGCCAAATTGCATAAGAAAATATTGACACTTTGAACTTGCTAACAGCATGCGGAGGGTAAAATGCATGTGCATTGCTGCCACTTGTACTCAATAATAATCGGTCTACATCAGGAGCATAGCATTGTCTGGAAGCAAATAGACTGACTGACTGGAATTAAGAAAAGTACATGAAGTGCACCGAAGATTGACTGAATCTTTCTATGCACACAGCAACATGCAGTGAGGCTATGTCATTCAGATGCCACTTCACTAAACCTTTTTCCCCCATCCCTCCTTTACTCTCTCCCCCTCTCTCTCTCTATCTATCTAACTATTACCAACAAAGGAGAAAAAGGGATTAACTGCACGTTATTTTTTACATGGCTAGCTGGATTTGCATGAAATTAGTTGTTTGGTGTCCTTGCCTCTTTGGTGAACAATGTGCGTGTCATATGACCTTGAAGACGTTTCTCTTGACAAGGAACAAAGGTTTGAATAAGAGTAAAGATGTCAATTTCTGTGGCAATATGCAGTCTTTGCAGCAGTATGTTGTATTTAGCAGCGGAGGAATGTTGGCATTTTAAGGATGTTTGGTTGCCTCCAGAGTTTGTATGAGATTGGACAGAGTTTAAAGCTTCACTCTTGGCATACTCATGGTTCATTTGAAGGTGTGTCTGAGTAACATGCAAAAACATCAGGCAGCATTATTGCTCCAACGACTTTTTTCTTTTCCCCTTCTCTTTCATATTTATCCTTCTGTTTTATGGGAGAGTATCTCATCCTTCTTTGTAGGTTTCTCTCTTCCTAACAAAGTTACTTCTTCCACTGAAGGAAGAAAAAGAAATAATAACAAACATTTCACAACATCTATGCAGCAACCTCAAGAAATATTTAATAATTTTTAAAGATGGAACCTAAATGTTAACTAATTCTGTTTTCTGGCAAGGAGTGTCTACCCTGCCTTCCTACCTGCCTTCAATGACATATCCATTATCGACAAGTCACAACATTATCTAGTACATTGTACAAACATATTAATTTGCTTGGAAAAATAATTACCAGGCACCATCAGGGTAAAAAGCCAATGTCTAGTTGATCAATAGATACAGACCTGTACCGGCTTTCTCCTCAAAACTTGGAAGGCCTCAGCTCTCATAGACAGAAATCTAAGAAACTTCTTGGTCAGAATATTTTCAAGTTCATCAGCCTGCTTAACCTACACAAGATGAAGAGAAGTAATGGTAAAAAAGTGAGGACAAATTGCAGTCAACATTAGTGTGCGAGCACGTTTTAGGGTCAAAAAAAGGTTATTTCACTCCAAGGTTGAAAGCTAGCCAACACAGAAAATTAAATAGTGAGAAGAATTTACTGCCTTCTGGAGCGTCACAAGCCAACTGAAGTCAAAATAAAGATATCTTGACAACGAGAAACTAAATTGATGAAACTCCATTCAAGATGCTCTAGTTTCAGGCCAGAAAGAATAAAGCTTGTCTCCAAACAATGTGATCTCATCCTAAGATGTTTGAACTTCAAGCAATAAAATTCTATAGCCTTGTCAAATTAGTCATAAAAACGTCAATTTTACCTCCTTGAGAATAATTTAGACTTGCAACATTTGGTCCTATTTCATTCATTTAGCAATCAAACTGAATTCATCATCGTTTGAGTCCACTCATGTCTCTAAATTGGTTTCTCAACTTTCACCATTTGGCCATGCCCTTTTTCGAACAGTACATAATGTACTTTTCAATTCTTTCTAGACATTTCAACCATTTCATTGTTTAAAGCCAATGCTAACCATCATTAGCAGAAACCTCATTAGAAATCATTTCAAATGAATTGGTAAAATCAAATTTTACCTTGAGACTTATCTGCAGTGAATTAATAGATGTTTCTATTAAGCATTTTTCAGCCTCATTTCGACAGATCAAAACCTGTAACAATTGCAGACATTTTGCATGCAGCAGTGATGAAGAACAATATTAGTTAACTGAAACATCATTTAGAAAAGGAACAGTTAAAAGATACAAATTCAGATTCGATAACTGATAATGACCGGCAAGAGGCAGTTTGGTCCAGAAACCACAACGCCATTGCCAAACATGTTTAAGCTGAACAAAGTTGCGAAGATTTCAGAATAGAATAACTACCACCAAGGATCCCAATCTCTTGTGCTACACAGAACTGGCATGATCAATCTCGACTTACACAAAACAGAAAGTGGAAGGCTTTCATACTTAAACGTGACTCTAGACAATGCTTTAAATATCTCGAGTTCAAAACTAACCTAAGTATGTTACTTTAATCCATTCAACAAAGGAGGGAGATAATAAAATCCCTGATCAAAATTTCATTAAGGGAAAGCAACTAACGCCCCAAGATTGAACAAATAACAACAGCTTGCATATGAAAGATCTTAACTTATCCTAAAACAAGACTCTAGAGTCTAAAAGTAATGATAGATTTGATGAAAAGGAAGGAATGGAGGAAACAACAGCAGGCAATCATTCTCATTCATAGCATAAAAGACCTTTACCCATACAACCTCAACATGAGGCCAATCCAAATGTAAACAGGTATACTCAGAAAACCCAGAGACCCCGCCTTCTCACTTCACTAAATATTAGTACTATGCCGGGAACAAATAGAGTTTCTTCTAGAATTTCAGAATTTAACCACCATATAAGACCTATACAATGGAATTTTGACCAGGTGCTATTTTAGAGCACACAGAAGCTCAGAAGGAGGAAATGGAGCGTATAAGCCAAGTCATTATTTTCTTGGAGCTGATTTTATAATATAATTTCATTCCCCAAAAAAATGCAATATTGATTTGAAATAAGATGGGTCTTACAGGATTTAGCAGGAGTTCAGGGCTGGTCCTGCACAGAAATGAAGAAAGAATTACAATCTTCATGGAGGAAAATATTGCTTTACTAGCTGTAACACAAAAATCGTGCATTGGTGAATCGAGACTGATTGTACAGGGTAAGGAGTACACAAAATCAAATATGTGTATGTTTTGCTATCCCTTTAATCACTCTAGAACTAAGGAGTCAGAACGAGTCAGCTTTATTGTTTCGTTACTTTAGTATCAATGTTATTTACAGAAGAAAAAAGCCAGATTTAAGGAGCAAAAGGGGGACAAGAAAAATAAGTAAAACTTTAGTTCATACTTTAGTTCAACCTCTGGTTTGTTATGCCTTTCAACCTCTTGACACGGAAAGTTCTGCAACCAGTAAGAAGACATAAAAAACTTGTTAATCTATTGTACGATTTAGAAGATGGTTTTACTGGGGCTAAAACAACAATTCGGGGACATAAATTGAACCACGATAACCTGCATTCAAGAACATAATAGAAGAAACCGTTATGCCAATATTGGTCTAAATCTCTCCAAAGCAATACTCCGCACAAAATTTTCTCATTTTGAGAGAAGTTCCAAATATGTAGCCTTGACTATTATCGTACTACAAATTCACACCTTCGAAATGATGCGTACCTGCAAGCACATTGCAGCCTCGAGTGTGTTCCTTATGCAGGCCAAGTACAACCGTAATGTGCTAGCCTGAAAATTAGTCCATATACAACAGAGAGGATCACGACCTAGCAAAGTGAACAAACTGAACAAACTGTGGCTATTATGATTTGCGGCTAAGATAGACAGTGACAAACTGTAATATGATTACTACTCAGGATTCAGAAAAAGGAAAAGGGTTATACCATGTGCGAGGAGACGAGATTCAATCAGCTAAGGCGTCTGCAATCGTCGTCGCAGCGTCAGTGAATGAAGCAATGTTAGGGGTCTTGCAAAATGAAAATACGGATTTCCTACTCCTCAGAAGCGTGCTGCTTGGCCTTGATCGAACAATCTCCTTGGAACCACGAGTGGAGTAACTGGAACGGGCGAATGACAAGGTCCAAAATAACCAATTAATTCAACGCCCAAAATGTGAACTTCAAAAATTTATAAATTCGATTTTAATTTTATAATTTTATTATAATGAATTTATAATTTATATTTTAAATTTTAATAAAAAAATATTTATTATTTAATCATCTTAAAATTTTAAAAATAAGTTATAAATTCATTACAATAAAATTATAAAATTGAGAGATAAACTTATACATTCATAAAGCTTGGGCAATTAAAATTTAAATTGAATAAATTAATTTTTTTAAAACATCTCTCACGTTCTCTGTAACTAAAATCCCCAATTTGAAAACCTCAAGGTAAGAAAAGAACTTCATTCTTCCCAAGTTTAAAAATATATTTTCATATTTTTTACTTATTGAATAGACTAAATTATTTATAATATGCAACTCAAGCGTTTAATAGATTTGAAGTCTCTTCACTTTTTTTCCTTATATTTCCTTCCATTTCACCCATCCCAACCATTCATTAATTTTATCACTTAAAAAAATTATTTAATAAAATAATTTAAATGGTGGGAATTGGAGAAATGGAGAGAAAAAAATTGGAGAGACCCTTCTCTTGTATTTAACTAGCCATGGAGTGTTATATAAAATTGATGTCTTTTTTAATAATTTACCTTTTCAAAAAGTGCCTTTTCATTTCGACCACATAAACATATAGTTAATAGTATTTCCATATTTTGGAATTGTATGTTCTTCTATTCTTTTCCTTTTCATTTCTCTTTGGAAGATACATTCATACAAACTCACTGTCTAATTCTTAGAATAAGATGTTGAGATTATGACTTAACTCTTTATAATCCTTTGTGATTATTTTATATATTATCTTGATGTAAATTTATCATATCTCTATTTGATGTTTTGGGAGGTATTTATTATTATCCAAGATAATATTTTTAGTTGATGAAAAGTTTCGTATATATCTTGTCTCTCCATCTTCGATAGAAAAGACAATTATAATAATTCTTATTTTTTATAGTGAAATTACTCACTCGTTGTTCATGAGTTTTTTTGTATTGGGGTTTTCTCACGTTATATTTCTTGTGTCATCTTTTATCATTTTTTTTAATTTTTTTATAATTTTCAATTATTTTATCATGTTTACTTTCGTTAATTATTTGCTCACTTCCTAAAAAGTAGTATTAGGGTCTAGTTCTCAATTGAAAATTTTTCATAATGTCTATTGTTACAAAGTTTGATATTGAGAAGTTGGATGGCAAGATTAGTTTTGCTATTTGGCGAGTTCAGATGAAAGCTGTTCTTACTCAAAATAAGTTGAAGAAAGCTTTACTTAGAAAAGATAAAAAGCCAATGACTATGTCTGATGAGCAATTTAAGGAGTTAGATGAAAAAGATCTTTCATCTATTCAACTATGCCTATCTAAAGAAGTTTTATGAGAAATAGTTAATGAGACTAGTGCGGCTTCATTGTGATTGAAGCTGGAATCTCCCTGTATAATGAAAAGTTTAACAAATAAGCTTCATCTCAAAGGACGGCTATATGCATTTGTATGGTTGAAGGTACTCCTATTCAATCTCATGATGAATTTAATTCCATTATTATAGATATAGAAAATACTGATGTCAAAATTGAATATGAGGATAAAGCTATTTTGTTGGTTGTCTCACTGCCTTCCTCTTATAAACATTTCAAAGATATTATGCTTTATGGAAATTTAGATACCTTAGTCTTTGAAGATATAAAATCTAATTTATTATCCAAAGAGAAGTTTGATCTTGAAGTTTGTTCTGAAGATAAAGGTAAAGGTTTAAATGTGAGGAGAGAAGTAATGGAAAAAGAAGTACCAAAAAATCTAGATCTAAGTCTATGAAACATAAATCCAACAACAATGATAAAACTTATAATTATTGCAAGAAGTCAAGTCATGAGATATCTTAATGTTATAGACTTAAAAAGAAGTGGGAAAGAGAAGAATAAAATAAGCAACCTTAAAAATGATCCGCTGAAGGTAGTGTTGCTAAGACAGAATCAAATGGTGATGTTTTGTTGTCTATTTCCTCTATTGATAGGAGCAACATAACTGATTGGATTATTGATTATGCTTGCACTTTTCATATATGTCCTCAAAAAGATTGGTTTACCACTCTTAAATCTG